AGGGGGGGGGAAGGAGAACTTCCAGACTCATTCTGTGAGCCAACATTACACTTTGATTCCCAAAACAGACAGAGACCCAGCAAAAAAGAACTACAGGCCAATATCCCTGATGAATATGGATGCAAAAATTCTCAACAAGATACTAGCAAATCAAATTCAACAGCATATGAAAAGAATTATTCACCATGATCATGTGCGATTCATTCCTGGGCTGCAGGGCTGGTTCAATATTTGCAAATCAATGAATGTGATACATTACATTAATAAAAGATAAGAACCATATGATCCTGTCAATTGATGCAGAAAAAGCATTTGACAAAATTCAGCATCCTTTGTGAATAAAAACCCTTGAGACAGTTGGGATAGAAAGAACGTACTTAAACATCCTAAAAGCCATTTATGAAAATACTTATTTCTTAAAATCTGCTTTGGTTTCCAAAGTTTTATTGGACAACCCATTCACTGGTCACGTGACTCCAAGGTCTTAAATGTAGAGATCTCTGCCAGTCTATGCAGTACTTTATATTAATTCTCCTTTACCCTTTAAAATTTCTGTTCCTTTGCTTTGTAGTCAATACTTTTCGTTTTTGCTTTTCTGATTACTTCTATTTTCATTCACAATAATACCCTTTAATCCTTCTCTTTTTCTTGAAGTGTGGAATACTTTCCCTACCATCTAAATCTGTGCTATCTAGTATGGCAGCCAGTAGCCAAATGTCCCAGTTGCAATATGGCTAGTTCTGACTGAGATAATCTAATCTGTTAGTATATAATATGTACTGGATTTTCAAGATGTTAGATGAAAAAGAGAATGTAAAATGTCTCACTAAGTTTTAAAATCTTGAATATATGTTAATAATATTTTAGATATACTGGCTTAAATAAAAATATTGCTAAAATTAGTTTTACCTGTTTCTCTTTTTAAATATAGCTATTACACCTGTGGCTTGATTATATATCTGTTCAGCAGTGTTCATCTTTCCTTAAAGATCCTCCAGATGAGTTTTCCATGTAATACACATTTCTCTTCTGAATTACAATACCAGTTCTGGAACATTTAGTCCCCATCCCCCACCCCCCATAACATACTAAGCTTCTTTAGAACCAGGGTAATTCCCCATAGTGCTTTACATATACTGGGATATAGAGATAAAAGAGATAGAAATATGAAAAAATGTATATACATACAAAATAACATGAATAAAGGACTTGGCTAGCATTATCACTTTGTCAAAGAGGATACTTACAGTAGATAATGCCTGTTGTGAGGTTTTTGCTAAATATGATGGGAAATATGAGGGCTTGATGTGAAGGGGAGGTGAGACTTTGCTCTGAGATATTAAAAATCTAACATGTACTTACCCCAAGGATATTCAGTCACCCCAGGCCACGCTGGTGGTTCTGAACTATGCTGTTGTGATTTTACCGCCATCTGGTGTCAGGATTAGGAAACTGTAGTTCAGCCTTTTGCCTACTCCCTTACCCTGCCTCCTGCTGGAGAAAAGTAGGCACTCTTTCCTCTGCATATGAGCCTGTATCTTCACACCCTAGATAAGTTATCAATAAGAACTCTAATTTCAGTGTAGGAAACCTTTTTTCTCCTCCTTGGAGTAGGCTTTCCTTGGCTTCCTTAGTAACTTACCAGTTTCCCTCATGTTTCTGTGGCTATTCTCTTTCATTCTCAGATAGCCCATTTCTCTCCCAATGTAGTAATTTCCTAGTCCTAAGTGTTCCCTTAATCTAGTCCTAGATTCTAGGTCCTACCCAAGGCTTTAAATAGAAAAAATTACATAATAATCTATTTATAGAAAAATTTATAGTTATAGCCAAAAAGGTTCTTCTAATCTCGACATTGGTATGTCATTGGTAGGCAACTGCTTACTAAGATGTTACATGAGCATCTCAAGCTTAAAATATTCAAGGCTAAATGTGGATCTCCTACCCCACCCCAGTTTCTCAAATCTGTTTTTTTCATTTCAGTAATCCATCATGCCAGGATTCTGGGAATCATCTTGGCAACCCCCATCTCTTATTCTCATTAGTCAGACATTCACCATGTTCTATTGAGTCTACAAAGATACATTCTTGTTTGTGTTAAAGTAGTCCCCTGTTCTGACCTTATCTAAGCTACCACTGTCTTTTGTCTGCCTGAGTAAGCTCCTAATTAGTCTCCCTGCCTATACTCTTGACTGCATTCACATGTTTTATTTATTTATTTTTAAATTTTTAAAAATGTTTTTATTTATTTTTTTGAGAGCGAAGACAGAGCGTGAGCAGGGGACGGGCAGAGAGAGAGGGAGACACAGAATCCGAATTAGGCTCTAGGCTCTAAGCTGTCAGCACAGAGCCTGACACCAGGCTCAAAATCAGGAACCACGAGATTATGCCTGAGCTGAAGTCAGATGCTTAACCAACTGAGCAACCCAGTCACTCCTATTTGTTTATTTTTTTAAGTAGGCTTCACGCCCAGCATGGGGCTTGAACTCACAACACTGAGATCAGTGCTTAGCAACTGAGCCACACAGGTGCCCTGCCCCCTATGTTTATTTGTTTAATATCAGCCTCTCCTTCTAGCCTGAGAGTTCCATGATGAGGGAGGGACTCCATGCATTTGGTTCACCATTGGGTCCCCAGCACCTAGTACAGTTCCTAAGATGTGTGTAATGCATATGTAGTCACTTGGTTCTCAGTGATGTTGCTATGGCTCCTGTTGTTTTGGTAACTCAACTTGAACGTATTAGAATTTCTTGAATTCTTTATTTTGGCAGTAGTATTTTGTCAGTTCATTTATCATGAATGAGTTTTAGTTATTTTCTACTTTGGTCCAGGAAACTTAATTGTACCTGTAAGGACAATATGTATTGGGTATTAATCTGCCAATGACAACTTAAATATTAGGGACTGCTGACCAATATACTGAAATTATTTTCGTTTTTTTAAGTGTATGTTTATTTATTTTGAGAGAGAGAGAGTGAGAGAGAGAGTGTGTGTACAAGCAGGGGGAAGAGCAGAGAGAGGAGAGAGAGATAATACCAAGAAGGCTCCACAATGACAGTGATGTGGGGCTTGATCTCAAAACCCGTAAGATCATGACCTGAGCTGAAATAAAAAGTTGGACACTTAACTGACTGAGCCACCCAGGCACCCCCTGAAATTATTTTCTGAGCATTTGAAATTACAGGCCAGTGGTTTATCTCTCAGCATTCTTCTGTCTGAAATGCAGTGTTCCTTAATTTTCATATGGAAGTATACTTGCTAAATCTTCAATTAAAACCTGTTTGACTCCGGGTGTTCGTTTAAATAGAGGCCCAGGTCTTGATAGTTTTAGTAATTTTGATTTGCTTTGATATTTTAAAGTTGGTTTTGTTTTCTAAAGTTTTAGAACTCAGACTTAATTTCTGCTTTGAATTGATTATATTGCTTAATAAGGAAATTCAATTTGTAAAAGTAGAGGTGAGTTATTAAAAGCTGGTGTTTAGAGGTAAGCAACAATCTGTACACTAAGGATGCAAGCTCAAGAGAACAAGGACTTAATAGGTATATACCAGGGTTTCTCAACCTTGGTATTACTAACGTCATGGGTCAGATAGTTTGTTGTTGTTGTTGTGTGTGTGTATGTGTACATACGAGACCTGTCCTGGGCATTGTAGGATTTTAGAGCATCTCTGGTCCCTACTCACAAGTGGCAACCCCTCCTCTCCAGCTGTGACAACAAAAATGTCTGTAGACATTGCCAACTGGCACGAGGGAAGCAAAATCATAGCAATTAAAAAACCAGTAGTATAGACTATAGCAGAGGATCATAGTCCATTAAATGTCTCACTTGGGAAATCTTTGGCATTCTCTAGATGTCACTGAGAATGTGGTAGCTCTGTGGAATATTGCTAATGGCAAACGGAAGTAGAGACTATAGGACTGTGTTTTTCACAGTTTAAAATGTGTTTGCTTAGATTAAAGTAACTTTTGCCCTTAACTACTTGGTTCTACCCCAAACTGAAGAAACGTAGCATTCTAAATCACATTTCACCAATAAAATTTCATTTTGTGGACTGACATTAGAAGTTCAGTGGTGATTAAAAAAAGGGGGGGGCGTGGGGAACCAAGATTACAGTAAAGAGCAGCTTGTAATCAGAGCTTTTGCCATTTGTATTGTGTATATATAACTTACAGGATATAATTCACTTTTTCTTTCCCCAAAGGGACGTGAGAGACGGCTTTAGAAGAAAAAGTTTCTACCCTTCCCATTATGCAAGAGACCGATCTCCTCATAAAAGAGACCCTCCTTTTTTCAGAGAATCGCCTGTAGGTCGAAAGGATTCTCCACACAGCAGGTCTGGCTCCAGCGTCAGTAGTAGAAGCTACTCTCCAGAAAGAAGCAAAACGTACTCTTTGCATCAATCTCAACATAGAAGTATGTATTTTTAAGACTTCTTTTACAATCTCCACTAATGAGGAAGTATTGATTCAGATTGCCTTATAGGTATTGCTAAGAGAGAAATTTTTTTAGCCTTTTATTTTGAAAATTTTGAAACTTCTAGAAAAGTTGAAAGAATAGTATAATAAATACCACACAGATTTTTTTGGAACCGTTTCAAGTTGTGGTCCACATTGACATTTTACTTCTAATTCTTCAACACAGAAGATGTGTGTTTGTAATCATGTTGGAAAGTTACACACTCTTATATTTTCTGCTAGTTCCTGTATTAGTCCATTCTCTTCAGTCTTCTGTCAGTAGAAGATATCTGTCTCTATATATCTGATTAGTATATTTTTCATGAAAAATCTCAGTGGTTTCCCCTAAATACAAGGTGTAGCCTTATTTATAGATGCTAGAGCTAAATCCTACCTTAGGTTCATTTTTTTTTTTTTCCAACCTCCAATTTGTTTGTTTGTTTGTTTGTTTTATTTGGAGTACCTAGACATGCATGGCATTCTGTGCAATCATAGCATGGCATTCTGGCTGAGTTGCTCAGTATGTATTGGAATAAATAAATGAAGCAACTTTTTTAGATAATCTGTTTTATCTTTCTGGACTCCACTGCCTGCAATTGAGCTCATTTACAAACACTTCCTCCTGCCTGCTAAATGCAAGGCACTGTGTTAGATAGAAGGATATCCCCGTCACCAGGGACTGGAATATATTTAGGTATTTTCCCCTTAACTAACAACAATTTTATCAATATGTAAATATAACAGATACAAGATAATTTTTTTTTAATTTTTTATTTCTTTGAGAGACAGAGAGTGCATGAGTGGGGGGTGGGGCAGAGAGAAAGGGAGAAAGAGAATCCCAAGAAGCTGTGTACTGTCAATGTGGAGGCCAACGCAGGGCTCAAACCCACAAACTGTGAGATCATGACCTGAGCCAAAATCAAGAGTTGAACATAACCAACTGAGCCACCCAGACACCCCTAAAATATAACTTTGATATAAGAATTGATATGTCATAAATGAGTTAACCTGGCATGAGCAGGTCAAGGTGAGAGAGATTCTCACTCTGGGGGTTAGAAGAACACATCATGGAGGAAACGACATTTGGGCTCATCTTTTATTTCAGATTTCTACAAGTAAAAGTATCTTCTAGGTGGGGAGAATTACAAGCCAAGATACAGACACCAGAAAAGTCAAGGATATTTCTTTTTCTTTACCTTTTTTTTTAAGTTTCACTTATTTATTTTTTGAGAGAGAGAGAATGAGCAGGGAAGGGAGAGAGAGAGATAATCCCAAGCAGGCTCCCTACTATCAGCATGGAGCCTGATGTGGGGCTCAAACCCACAAACTGTGAGATAATGACCTGAGCTGAAATCAAGAGTTGGATGCTCAACCTACTGAGCCACCCAGGCACCTCTCTTTTTCTTTACTTTTTAACTTCCTTCCTATTAAATGTTCTTCCAAAGTATAAGAGTTTTAGTTTAACAGCATTTGCTTCCTACATGTTCGGACTGAGAGAAGGTTACTTCAAATCATTAGATTGTCTCCATTGTAGCTGTTGCTGGATTCCTTTATTTAACGAAAATTTATCAATTTTTTACTGATTTCAGAGCTAAGTAGAGTGGGGCTTCCAAAAAAAAAATATTTTTGGATACATGTATATGAATGGTCATACAGGAGGTAAGAATGTCATTTGAAGGATTTATAACAAACATTGTAACTTACATATGCCCACTTGCTTAAAATAAACATATAGTTCCAGGTAACTGAAAGCTTTTCTGTGGAGTTCAGGCTCTAGAGTTTGGTATTTTCTCCTTTGTTTTACTTCCCTCTTTCCCACCCTCTCCCCTTTCAAGAGGATAAATAACGTCTGAGTTCTAAAGTACACTCATATGCACAGATGTAAATATTAGCCAGACACCTTCTGAGAAGATGTATTTTTTTTTGATGTGTCTGACTTAAATACAAATATAATGATTAAGAGGAGGAAAGTATCTTTGGAAACTGATTATGAAGGCTTTTGAACAAAACATGAGTAAAATGGAAGCTTAAGATTCTTGACAGCTTGTAGTGAACCTAATTATTAGTGAATTTGTCTTTTTCCAATTCTCCTCTAAAACATATTTTTAGGGAGGAATTTTATGTCAGCTTTCCGCCTGGTAGTTGGTAGCCAAAACTTTAAAATCTTGAGATGAAATTGTAGGGAAGCCACATGTGATACTCCTGTCTTAGGGTCTCCGTATACTTTTCCCCATCCTTTGTGGTCAAATTGTTTTACTATCTGGAGTGATGAATAGATAACAGAGAAAGCTGGGAAACTAAAATATGGTGCAAATTGAGTGAAATAGAACATATGACTTTGGTATGCCTTCATGTTTATATTATTAAGTCATTTAGCTTCAAAAGTTAAGTTCTTTAATCAAGAAAAATGTTTGTTCTGGGAAAACTCTCTTTACAAGTTACTTGGGTTGTAACACTTTGGGCTGAGCTATTGAAATGTTTTTCTATACTCCTTTCATGTAAATAGTTTTCAGAATAGTTACATAAAATCATCTTGCAAAAAGTTAATGGAGAACTTATTTTAAACATTAAATAGAAAAAGTAACTGTTATGTTACACACTTCTGATACCAATTCTTGCTTTGAATCTAAATGTCACAGATAGTGATGGCACCTTGCTGTTCTTCAAAAAAGGACTGCGAAACAGGGTCCTTAAATTATCGTTTAAATTGGGTTAATTAACAACAATGTGTTAATTTAGTTTTTTAATGTAAGTTAAAATTTGGGCAAAAATTTTAAATGTTTCTACAAATAACAGGTAAAAACAATTTTCTTACTTTCCTAATGCCGTCATTTTGCTAAGTTTAATTTTTTGCTTTTTGTTCATACTTTTCAGAGTAATTTTAATTTAATAATCACTAGTAGTTTGGCCATGGTAACCATTTAAAGACTAATTCTTCCTGATTCTTCTGTGCATTTAGTGTATCTCTTATATGATTAATTATAAGTCACAGAGTGGTTTTCACTACTTTTTTATCTTAACTACTTATTTCCCATTTTGTGCTTACACTCACATATACATGTCTACATATGTATTTGATTAAATTTCTTCTATAGCCTTTTGAGTTAAACCTGTAAACCTTGCACTGCTTTGTAGAGTAATTATCCTCCTAAATCAAAATGTTATTTTCATTCTGTGCTTTATATATAAGAATTTTCTGCCTATAACTTAATTGGGTTTACCTGTTCATACCTGTTACTATAATATTATTTTTTGTTCGTTTTTGTTGTCCATATTTATATGCTAAGTGTAGGTTGTCCTAGTTAACCTCATTGCCTTTCCCTTTGTTCATTATGATGCTATTCCAGTTAAAATTGTTGTATATGTATCCTGTATATTTTTATTTGAAGTTTATTATTTTTATTCCTTTTAATCCAACCAAATATTTCCCCATTTGTCAACTCTCAGATATTTATTTCCTTTTTTCCTCCTCTTTCTCAGTTGAATCTCATTATTTTCCTATCTTACTCTTTTGTTGAGGATAATTATTTAACATTAATAGGTGATACCAGAAATCACTCAGGACAGTTTCCTGTCCTCGTTCTTTGTTAAAATACTTCCTGTGATAAATTTACTATATCACAGTCCAGTACTTCCATCTTTGTATAGTTCATTTTTTATGATACAATTAAAGCTTGTCTTGTAACCTCTATGCAATACTAGTTATTTGTCTTAGAGCCATAAAAATGTTTCTTCTTTTTTTATGTTGTAACATTTCATGTATCTGAAGAATACGATCATAATCTTCTTGGTTTTTTTTTTCCCCCACAGGTTCAAGTATATTTAGTTCCTTCAGCTTTTATTTGACATGTTTTCAGAACTTTGCTTTCCTAATTTTCTTTCTGTTCCTTTTAAGTTGTGATGCCAGAAGTGAACTTTTACTTTGTCAACTGGACTGTATTACTGGCCCTTATTGAGACTGTAGGCAATTGAAACCTAAGCCATCTTCACATATATTACTATTTAACAAAATGCCCTCCAGCCTGTACTTTTTTTTTCATGTAGTTTATACATTAAAAGAAATCTAGGAATGCTAAATTTCATATCATTAACTTTAGCTTATTATTTTCTTCTATAGGGATCTTAAAATCTCAGTGATTCTGTATATTTGCAGCAGATAAAAATAGCAGTTTCATCGACAAAGGAAATATGCTTTGGGTTTTTTATTAGTCATTAATAATTATGTTGACTGGCAGATAGCCAAATTTAGAAACCTCTAGAGACCTCTGTCTGTGGACTTCAACCATTTTTCTGCATTATTTTTAACTAGTTGTGATCCTCTTATCTTCCTTTTCTCTTGAGGATTTCATGGAAGACTTTATCAGGTGCTTTCTTGAAACTCTTAAGTTAGAATGAATTTCCTCTATCCCAAAAAGGGACATAAAAATTACCTTGTTTTGCTTTGTAAATCCATTGTGGCTCTAGGGATGATTATTTATTTATTTATTTATTTATTTATTTATTTATTTTTAACGTTTATTTATTATTTTTGGGACAGAGAGAGACAGAGCATGAACGGGGGAGGGGCAGAGAGAGAGGGAGACACAGAATCGGAAACAGGCTCCAGGCTCTGAGCCATCAGCCCAGAGCCCGACGCGGGGCTCGAACTCACAGACCGCGAGATCGTGACCTGGCTGAAGTCGGACGCTTAACCGACTGCGCCACCCAGGCGCCCCTAGGGATGATTATTTAAATACATAGAAACTACATCTTTGTTAATTTGTCCTAAACCTTTGCCTATGGATTATTCAGATTTACCACTGATGCTTATACATTAATTAGGCTGTTTGACATTTTGGTAAAATTTTTAAAATTCCATTACTGTGGAAGATTTGCAAGCTTATTATTTTTGTTGGGATATATCTTTTTTCTGTAGCTCTGACTTTGGGCCCAGTATCCCTTTATTTTCTTGAGATCAGC